GCTAGACTGTAATTAGAACAAAGCAGTCGATTTTATACAGATTTACAGAGTAAATTGATTATTATTTTTGGGCACTGTGTGAGAAGTGATTGACCCGCATAGATATGGCATACACTATAATGTTTTATTTCAATTCCTGTGTATACGTCTATATTTTACAGAAAAATACGGCCTTACAAATGGCGTGCATCGTTGGGCTGCACAGTCACAACATACTCGGGATTATTTGCTTCCTTTCTCAAATTAAAAATGTCCTTATGATATAAATACAAAAGACTTAACTAGTATATGATCTCTCACCGACGCTATCAATGTTACAATTTGCCAAAGTCATTTGCTACAACAAGAATTAGCGTAGATGTGCATACAAATCAAACGTACTATTGCCATATGACAAACAATGGTCCAACGAGGTTAGGATTACAAGTTAAACTCGGCGCAACTTTCACACGCATATATAGATCGTTTCAAACGTTATTTAGAACAGTATTTTCCCATCTATCCAAAAGTACACATCAGTTGAAGACGCAGACGTTACACGCTGAATGTTTCAGGGCAACAGCAACGACTCATTGCAAAAACATCTTACAATATTACATGGTGTTGACATATATACCCACGTTATCATCCTAATTGTGCAATTTAAATTTATGCATTTCATACAAAATGCATGCCTATTCCATCCACTGCATTGAAGTTAAAACTTCTGTTTATATGAAGGTATGATTTCATTGTTCTACAAAATAATACAATGTGCTGTGCCGTGTTTTGATGCAGTTTGTAGCGCAGACGATGGAACCTGCGCTTAGGCATTAAGGGATTACTCAGAAGACAGAAGGTTGACGTGCTATTAAAATAAAGCAATTAAAACAGTGATGACATGTAAAATAGACGCACTTAAGCGAACAAAATGCGAAAGGAAAGATGATCTCATTATGCCTGCTTAATTAAAAGACACATTTATTCAAGAGGATTAGACACATTAGAGATTAGACAATTATAATATTAGTTATGGTATCAAACTGAATATATAGCCAAAGATGCTCAAAATTTAACTGAAAGGTTTAATGAAGCAAAAAATCTACGTAAAAGATATATAAGATGCCATTATGCTAATCAAGAACAAGTTACAATCATAGAGGATGGTTTCTTATTAACTGTCCATACAAATGTTCTCAAATTTTAGTATTCAGTACATTACTGTATGATCTTTCTCATGACACCAACGTTTTTGCGGTAAAAAGAAAAAAAACGGGCGTTTTTGCGATACATTCCACTTCGATTTCTGACGTATTATTGCGTAATAACCAGATGACAGAAAAACTCAATTATTGTAATTCTGAAACATAAGTTGTAAAATGAAATATAATTTCCGATGGATAAATGAATGTCAAGACAGAATGAAGCAAAAAATCTATGTAAGAGATATATAAGGGGCTATTATACGAAAATCAAGATCAGGTTACAATTGAGAAAAGTACTTAATATTTAGAGGATGGTTTCTTATTAACTGTCCATACAAATGTTCTCAAATTTCAGTATTCAGTACATTACTGTACGATCTCTCTAATGACACCAACGTTTTTGCGGTAACAAGAAAAAAACGGGCGTTTTTGCGATACATTCGACTTCCATTTTTGAAGTATTATTGCGTAATAATAAGAGCGCAGAAAAACTAAACTATTGTAATTCTGAAACATAAGTTGTAAAATTAAATATACTTTCCAATGGGTACATGAATGTCAAGACAGAATGAAGCGAAAAAATCCATGTAAGACATATATAAGGCGCTATTATACGAAAATCAAGATCAGGTTACAATTGAGAAAAGTACTTAATATTTAGAGGATGGTTTCTTATTAACTGTCCATACAAATGTTCTCAAATTTTAGTATTCAGTACATTACTGTACGATCTTTCTAATGACACCAACGTTTTTGCGGTAAAAAGAAAAAAAACGAGCGTTTTTGCGATACATTCGGCTTCCATTTTTGACGTATTATTGCGTAATAATAAGAGCGCAGAAAACTAAACTATTGTAATTCTGAAACATAAGTTGTAAAATGAAATATAATTTCCGATGGATAAATGAATTTCAAGACAGAATGAAGCGAAAAAATCCATGTAAGACATATATAAGGTGATATTATACGAATCAAGATCAGGTTACAATTGAGAAAAGTACTTAATATTTAGAGGATGATTTCTTATTAACTGTGCATACAAATGTTCTCAAATTTTAGCATTCAGTACATTACTGTACGATCTTTCTAATAACACCAACGTTTTTGCGGTAACAAGAAAAAAACGGGCGTTTTTGCGATACATTCGCTTCCATTTTTGACGTATTATTGCGTAATAATGAGAGCACAGAAAACTAAACTATTGTAATTCTGAAACATAAGTTGTAAAATTAAATATACTTTCCAATGGGTAAATGAATGTCAAGACAGAATGAAGCAAAAAATCCATGTAAGACATATATAAGGCGCTATTATACGAAAATCAAGATCAGGTTACAATTGAGAAAAGTGCTTAATATTTAGAGGATGATTTCTTATTAACTGTGCATACAAATGTTCTCAAATTTTAGCATTCAGTACATTACTGTACGATCTTTCTAATGACACCAACGTTTTTGCGGTAAAAAGAAAAAAAACGAGCGTTTTTGCGATACATTCGGCTTCCATTTTTGACGTATTATTGCGTTAATAAGAGCGCAGAAAAGTAAACTATTGTAATTCTGAAACATAAGTTGTAAAATGAAATATAATTTCCGATGGATAAATGAATTTCAAGACAGAATGAAGCGGAAAAATCCATGTAAGACATATATAAGGTGATATTATACGAATCAAGATCAGGTTACAATTGAGAAAAGTACTTAATATTTAGAGGATGATTTCCTATTAACTGTGCATACAAATGTTCTCAAATTTTAGCATTCAGTACATTACTGTACGATCTTTCTAATGACACCAACGTTTTTGCGGTAAAAAGAAAAAAACGACGAGCGTTTTTGCGATACATTCGGCTTCCATTTTTGACGTAATATTGCGTAATAATAAGAGCGCAAAAAGTAAACTATTGTAATTCTGAAACATAAGTTGTAAAATGAAATATAATTTCCGATGGATAAATGAATTTCAAGACAGAATGAAGCGAAAAAATCCATGTAAGACATATATAAGGTGATATTATACGAATCAAGATCAGGTTACAATTGAGAAAAGTACTTAATATTTAGAGGATGATTTCTTATTAACTGTGCATACAAATGTTCTCAAATTTTAGCATTCAGTACATTACTGTACGATCTTTCTAATAACACCAACGTTTTTGCGGTAACAAGAAAAAAACGGGCGTTTTTGCGATACATTCGACTTCCATTTTTGACGTATTATTGCGTAATAATGAGAGCACAGAAAAACTAAACTATTGTAATTCTGAAACATAAGTTGTAAAATTAAATATACTTTCCAATGGGTAAATGAATGTCAAGACAGAATGAAGCGAAAAAATCCATGTAAGACATATATAAGGCGCTATTATACGAAAATCAAGATCAGGTTACAATTGAGAAAAGTGCTTAATATTTAGAGGATGATTTCCTATTAACTGTGCATACAAATGTTCTCAAATTTTAGCATTCAGTACATTACTGTACGATCTTTCTAATGACACCAACGTTTTTGCGGTAAAAAGAAAAAAAACGAGCGTTTTTGCGATACATTCGGCTTCCATTTTTGACGTAATATTGCGTAATATATTATAAGAGCTCGTGTTAATTTACTGCTTTTCAAACATTTATGATGGACGTGGTAATTGAATAATTTGACGGAGGCGCCAACTTAATGGCCTATATTTCATAATTCAGCAGCACTCAATCACCACTGTCAATGTTCGCATTCATCATGTGCAAAATCAAGCTTTAATAGCTCGCGCACTCCAAAATTAAATTTTGATAAATATATCGCAAGCTATACAGGCTCATTTACAGAATTTCTGTCATTTCCTTCTTATAAAATTCAACTTTTCCATTTATCGAAAATAAGATTTAAAAGAATCAATCGAATATGGTAAGTGACCAGCGTTCAATTGGTTTTAAACTATTTGCTGTTAATCTTACATAGGTATATATTTTAAGGTTTTTACGAAGAAAATAATGTCGTTAGATAATGTGATCGCAGTGATGCTCAAGTGTGACGAACGGCTTCACGAGGGCTGGCGAAGAGCTGAGGGATATTGGGGTATTGTTCTAACAAAATGTGGAGTTAGTAATACGTCTTCAGGAAGAAGACAGTTATATAGTGATTGGAGAAGAAACGCAAATAATTTTAAGGACAAGTACTATGAAAGCAAAAAAGCATCGAGTGCAAATAATAAATCAAATGAGGTATCGTGCCTATTTTTTTATTAATTTCAAGTTCATGTTTTTAATCTCTTATAAAAGATTTAAATAAATACAGAGATTTAAATAACATGCTTTTTTGTTTGACCAACCTCGCCGGCTCAGAACGGTGCTGATAAAGATAACTGGACTATATCTATATATATAAACAGTAATCGAATTAATGAAATATTCATGTCTGCTGGCCTGAGCGCTTAATTCTTTACACAATCGTCGGTCTTTTTTAACGTAATCTATCATATTGACATTCCACTTAAACTAATGGCATTAAAAAGGCTAATTATCGATTCATGAAAGATACATTTATGCTATACATATTATAATGAGAAACGACGAAAGCCCTGGTCAAAACGTCTAGAAGTATTTTTGTCCATGTTGGGCAGTTCCACATTTGATGAGGAGTTGACACGGCCACGTTGCTCCTTAATTATAACGATATTATTATTATAATTTATTATTTTCGCATTCTCTGACAATGAACATTACCCGCCCAGTGAGTCCTATATGATATTTTACATTTGATTTTGGGCTGCCTAAATTTTAAGGACCCCATTGCAAGATTTCTAGAGGGCTGCAAACATTCACTCCGCCCATCCTTATGACAATTGTAGGCTAGCTTCGATTTTAAGTTAAATGATATGCATTTAGACACATGTTTTTTCCGTGAAGACCTCCAATTCATTTGAAACACTGGATGATGAAATGGTAAGGTTTTACAAAATTTCTGCCCTGTATTAGTAGGAATCAGTAAAGATTGCAACAAAATCCTTTCGAAAATGTAATGCAAAATTGTAATACCGGATAAAATAATTATTGACCATTGGCATTACTCTAATACAGTATATATTCATACAGGAATGTTTAGTAGAAAACCAGGAGGAGATGCGAAAGGATAACGCAGTAATTTGGTCTAATAAGGTAAGATATTAAGTAAGAGTCGCAACGTATAATCTTCGAATAAACGTAGTCCTGCTTTATATATCTAATTGGCCAATGTAATTGTTTGTAAGCTATTTGAATTACATTAGAATTGACTAAAAAAAATTAATTTGAATATATGTCCAACACGCAAAGAAATATATGTAGTAGCCTTAAAGGCACAAGGTAAGCGCGAAATGAAAAAAGTAAATTATTGCAAGGAAAAACTTTCTTTTCCTTCCCGACCATAAAGTTCTCATTTGTAACGATTAAGGGAATTGGGTCCACTATAACTTCGGACTCGTATTTTCATCGTGATTTCACGAAATCAAAAGAAGGGCGACAACCTAAAGAAGAAGACGTCGCATCAATTACGTCCGACTATTCGGAAGAGTTCCCTCTGTTGCCCTCACTGAACGAGCGAATGCCGAGTCCGGTCGAGCAAGAAAATGTTTGTAGCCAGTCAATCTCCCAATGCATGAATGAAGAACAAGGGGAGGAAATTCTCATCAAGGATGGCGCATCTAATAAAAGGCAATTGTTTAAGACCTCCATAAGAAGAAGGCGTGCACCGAAAAAGTATACTCCTAACAGCAACAAAAACAAAGTTTACTGTTATTGCCAAGAAGAAGATAATGGTTGGTATCTTAGATGCGACTTTCAATATCCTGGTTGTTTAGAATACTATCATGCACGTTGCGTAGGCTTGGAAAAATTAAAGAAAAGAGAATGTGGCGAAAAGTTCAGCAATTGTGAAGACGGTACCTCATATGCTTGCCCTGAATGTGCCAGAATAGTAGAATGCAATGTTAAAGTAAAGAATTCACAATTAATAGAAGCGACAAAATCATCTAAACCCGAGTTGGTGTCAGAATTCGATTTTTCGTCCGTGCAACATAATCTGCCTGAAAATGACGAAGTGTGTATGCAGCAAGACGGCATTAAAGTAAATACTGTTTGGAAGGAAGACTTGCCAAACACTGTTAAGTATTCGGTAGCACCATACACGATGAGAATTTCACCATCTGAACAATCCCAGACAAATGCTATGTTTTCTGAGTCTCATGAAGGACTTGAGGATAATAACATTTTCCTTCCTCGTGTAGAATATCATGACCTGAAGTTATCTGACAGTGACTGCATTGTAGGACAGGAAGAAAAAGTGGAGTCCTCCCAGAAGAGAGACTCACAGAATCTACCTATGTTTTCTGAGTCTGATGAGGATTTTGAGGACATTACTATCGAAGCTGTTTTAGATGGAGATAAAGTAGAGGCAACTTCTCTGGAAAATGATTTACTGAATCCGTCGATGCTTTCTGAGTTTGCTGAGGGAGTTGGATATGAAAAAGTGGAAACATCCCAGGAAAGTGGATCACGAAATCTACCGATGTTTTCTGAGTCTCATGATAAAGGATTTCAGGATAATAGTTTCCCATTTGAAGAATATGATGACTTAAACTTTTCTGACAGTGACGATATTTTAGAACAAGTAGAAAAAGCGGAAACCTACCAGAATAAAGACCCGCTTAACCTACCAATCACGGTTGAGACTTTGAGAACTATAACGGACTGCCCCAAATTAACTACAGGTACTTATTTTACCGCAGAAATACCCAATGAAGCTACGTTCAGACTTACCGATGATGAATGGAAACGAATTGAACCAGCTGATGAAAAACCGAGTACGCTTAAACCGTGTTGGACGGAGGTAGTGGCATGTCATTTGAACGAATCTAATGACTATTGCACTTTTCGCTTCAAACGACATTTTATTCAGAGAAGAGATTCAAGAAAACGAAATTGTGATGTATTTACGGCTTCGGGTAATTGTGTGTTTGTCGATTGTAAATGTTCTTTCACACTTAAAATGAGTCAAGCACAATTCAACGTAAAAGAAATTTCGGTTACTTACAAAGGTGCAGTGAAACACGCGACAGGAGAAAGACAGTCTAGATTCATTCGAAACGAAGAAAGACAAAAACTTGCTAAAATGTTTCAGGAAAAACCGTGTAAACCATCAAAGGTTTATCAGGAGCTGAAGGAAAAACTAACAAGTAATGCAAAAGCTTCTGGTAATAGAACTGGATGTGGGGTACAGCCTACTACAATGCGCAAAATTGCAAGTGAAGGTCGTCAAAATGACTATATCGCTAGGGACATGGTAGAATCATTGGATGCAATTCGAAAACTGTTCATTCAAGAAGAAAATTCGCGAAATAAACCGCCTGCGAAGATCGATGGATTCATTCATATGATTAGTCTTCACCCTCTTATTGTATGCATGTGGACTGAAGGCCAGGTGATGCTTTGGCATGATCGAGTATTAAATGATGTGGCTTATTTAGATGCTACAGGGACAATTGTTGGCGACTACAATGGAAAAAGATCATTGTATTACGCACTGGCAGTGCGTCATCCGATTGTTGGTAATCCACCAATGCCGGTAGCGGAAATGGTGACAAACGATCATAGTGCTTTAAACATACGGGCGTTTACGGGCGCATTACTGCGCATGAAGCAAAAAATTAGAATCCTCATAAAGGTCGTTAGAATGGAGAGTGGCATCAATACATTTATACGTATATAACTCTAACTAAATACAATACATATATTTTCTAGATTAATTTGGGTAGAAACCTTATTATGTTCTAATTTTCTTCCGCGGAAAGCATATCTAGTCACCTACACGAGTTATTCAAAAAAGCACGGTAAGAAAAGTAATGTAATATTAAATATTGTAATTTGTTTTAAATCATTTTCAGCTTATGCCAATTGCCCAGTATCTTCGTGTCTTAATATTTCAGGTAGACAAAATGCAATGAATGCAGTAATCAATGATATCCTTGCAGATCTGGGTAAAATGACTTCAAGAATATATCCATGTCAATTTCACAAAACGCAATTGAAAGAATTTTTATTATGATCGCCGAATAATTGAATCAATATAAATCGATATATTTATGTATAAGAATAAATATATACCTATTACATTATATATTATATATATTATATTATATTTATATTAAAGAGTACATTTTCTTTTTCTTCAGAATCACTATAGTTTAGTTCTTCCGTGAACTGATTATTACCCAATAATACGTCAAAAACTTGGGTCCAAGTTATCGAAAAAAAACCGAGTTTTTTTCTTTTTACCGCAAAAACGTATGTGTCATCAGAAAGATCATACAGTAATGTACTGAATACTAAAATTTGAGAACATTTGTATGGACAGTTAATAAGAAACCATCCTCTAAATATTAAGTACTTTTCTCAATGGTAACCTGATCTTGATTCGTATAATAGCCCCTTTTATGTCTCTTACATAGATTTTTTTGCTTCATTCTGTCTTGACATTCATTTATCCATTAGATATTATATTTCATTTTACAACTTATGTTTCAAAATTACAATAATTGAGTTTTTCTGTCATCTGGTTATTACGCAATAATACGTCATAAATCGAAGTGGAATGTATCGCAAAAACGCCCGTTTTTTTTCTTTTTACCGCAAAAACGTTGGTGTCATTAGGGAGATCGTACAGTAATGTACTGAATGCTAAAATTTGAGAACATTTGTATGCACAGTTAATAAGAAACCATCCTCTAAATATTAAGTACTTTTCTCAATTGTAACCTGATCTTGATTTTCGTATAATAGCGCCTTATATATGTCTTACATGGATTTTTTCGCTTCATTCTATCTTGACATTCATTTACCCATTGGAAAGTATATTTAATATTACAACTTATGTTTCAGAATTACAATAGTTTAGTTTTTCTGCGCTCTTATTATTACGCAATAATACGTCAAAAATGGAAGCCGAATGTATCGCAAAAACGCTCGTTTTTTTCTTTTTACCGCAAAAACGTAGGTGTCATTAGAAAGATCGTACAGTAATGTACTGAATGCTAAAATTTGAGAACATTTGTATGCACAGTTAATAAGAAATCATCCTCTAAATATCAAGTACTTTTCTCAATTGTAACCTAATCTTGATTCGTATAATATCACCTTATATATGTCTTACATGGATTTTTTCGCTTCATTCTGTCTTGAAATTCATTTATCCATCGGAAATTATATTTCATTTTACAACTTATGTTTCAGAATTACAATAGTTTAGTTTTCTGCGCTCTTATTATTACGCAATAATACGTCAAAAATGGAAGCCGAATGTATCGCAAAAACGCTCGTTTTTTTTCTTTTTACCGCAAAAACGTTGGTGTCATTAGAAAGATCGTACAGTAATGTACTGAATGCTAAAATTTGAGAACATTTGTATGCACAGTTAATAAGAAATCATCCTCTAAATATTAAGTACTTTTCTCAATTGTAACCTGATCTTGATTGGTATAATATCACCTTATATATGTCTTACATGGATTTTTTCGCTTCATTCTGTCTTGAAATTCATTTATCCATCGGAAATTATATTTCATTTTACAACTTATGTTTCAGAATTACAATAGTTTAGTTTTTCTGCGCTCTTATTATTACGCAATAATACGTCAAAAATGGAAGCCGAATGTATCGCAAAAACGCTCGTTTTTTTTCTTTTTACCGCAAAAACGTAGGTGTCATTAGAAAGATCGTACAGTAATGTACTGAATGCTAAAATTTGAGAACATTTGTATGCACAGTTAATAAGAAATCCTCCTCTAAATATCAAGTACTTTTCTCAATTGTAACCTGATCTTGATTCGTATAATACCGTCTTATATATGTCTTACATGGATTTTTTCGCTTCATTCTGTCTTGACATTCATTTACCCATTGGAAAGTATATTTAATATTACAACTTATGTTTCAGAATTACAATAGTTTAGTTTTTCTGCGCTCTTATTATTACGCAATAATACGTCAAAAATGGAAGCCGAATGTATCGCAAAAACGCTCGTTTTTTTCTTTTTACCGCAAAAACGTAGGTGTCATTAGAAAGATCGTACAGTAATGTACTGAATGCTAAAATTTGAGAACATTTGTATGCACAGTTAATAAGAAACCAACCTCTAAATATTAAGTACTTTTCTCAATTGTAACCTGATCTTGATTCGTATAATAGCGCCTTATATATGCGTGTGAAAGTTGCGCCGAGTTTAACTTGTAATCCTAACCTCGTTGGACCATTGTTTGTCATATGGCAATAGTACGTTTGATTTGTATGCACATCTACGCTAATTCTTGTTGTAGCAAATGACTTTGGCAAATTGTAACATTGATAGCGTCGGTGAGAGGATCATATACTAGTTGAGTCTTTTGTATTTATATCATAAGGACATTTTTAATTTGAGAAAGGAAGCAAATAATCCCGAGTATGTTGTGACTGTGCAGCCCAACGATGCACGCCATTTGTAAGGCCGTATTTTTCTGTAAAATATAGACGTATACACAGGAATTGAAATAAAACATTATAGTGTATGCCATATCTATGCGGGTCAATCACTTCTCACACAGTGCCCAAAAATAATAATCAATTTACTCTGTAAATCTGTATAAAATCGACTGCTTTGTTCTAATTACAGTCTAGCAATGCATAAATAAGCTATACATCTTCGTAATTTTAAAGTTTAAACGAAAAAATGGCTAAAAAACCTGTTATTATTAAATGACCAAATTCTACTTTTGAATGATTGAACACAGTTGAATGTGAGGCCCAATCTGAGGCCCAATCTGAGGCCGAATCTGAGGCCGAATCCGCGGCTAACTTCACAGTGGTAATCATTTAAAGACATTTATTTGTTATTGTTATACAACCTCCGAATTTCGCCATTTATTCGCAATTTCGCCGCAATTCCTTGGCGCAAAAATTGTCACTAACATGTCGAAGAGGAAATTTCCCAAAGGAAATTTCCTACGATTTCCCAACACTGAACTGTATATATTACGGATGCTTTTGACGATACAGAATCATCAACTTTCTACCTATGTATTTACGTATCCAAGCAAAAATAAAAGTATTTTTTTATATATAACTTCTTTTACACAGGTAAATAAAGAAATTGATGGATATTTCTCTTTTTATACAGCTTTTTTACGACTTACGAGGCTACTCAGCGCTCATCGACTGAGGATATACGATACTCGACATCCCTGCGGCAGCAAAAAAATTAATCAAATAAAAATCATCCTGCGTTTGGTAACATTTATTGTCTTTATTGTCTGTCGCCTAAACAAATCAAGTGCAATTTCAATTTGTGACCGTGATGAGAAGAAATGCTGGATAACAGTTGACACCGGCATTGAACTGAAACAACCTTTGCCTATTCCGTGGTATATAAACGCATTTCCTGCAATATTTACACAATATAACTCGTTGATTATCCCGTATTCATGCGTACAATCACATTTTCTATGCCGAAGTGTGAATACTAGGTCTTGAAAAATATTCACAGAGTATTCGAAGGTATTCTAGGTCAGAATACGCGGTGTGTTTTATTCACAGGTATTCACATCGGAATACCCCCAATATTCCGAGGATATTCACTGTGAATATCTGTGAATACGTGTGAATATGGACCATATTCGAACTCATATTCGCACGTATTCACCTGTGAATACGCGGTTTTTCATATTAGCAGTGAGTACGAGTACGAGATTCGTCATCCTCGCGCGTTGTTTGCTTACGCCATCAGCCAAAATTCCTAGTCGCCGAGAGCTTTTGAGTACGAGTTTTTTGATAAATTTCGTACTCGAAAGCCCAACGACTACGAGTTTTGGCTGATGGCGCAAGCAAACAACGCGGGAGAATGACGAATCTCGTACTCGTAGTCACTGCTAAAGCTCCATATTTGTAGAATTGTAGTGTACTAGTGAGGCTTGCCATCAGTTGGTCATTTAAGATGGTTTTTAGCAACAAAGAAAGGCCCCTAAAGTTGGGATGAGGCGATTTTTTGGGCAGGCAAATTACAGAGATTTGGGAAAGCGTTAGGCTGGCGGTTGGTCGATCGCCGTCCATTCATGCAGGATGATTGAAGGCTGTAGCACCGCTACACGTACTATGATGGTACTACTATATTCCATAGCTTCTTCAATTACCGCCATCTCGGCTTTATACTTTTGTGGCTGAAACACGGCTTAAACCACAGCTGAAAAGAGCGCAGAAAAGAAACGCAAAGTTTGGTTGCGAAATGTTGTAAAATACAGAAAATATAGCCTAAAGGCGGATAATTATTGCGTTCGAAGAAGGAGAACGCTTCCCAGCCGTGTCATATCGAGATTTGCGATATCAGATTTGCCTCGTTCTGATGTGTCATCATAGTAACTGGAGACTATGTGCTCGCTCTATTTTGACATTTTGTTGTTAATTAATTAAGCATATGAGCCATCGCTGATGTTAAATTACTTATTTTACGGGTAACCTTTTAATCACATACGCTGTGATGTTGTAATGTTAACATTTTTGTTAATGATCGGTAACCGAAATCAACACATTCCGAACGCACATCACCAATGTTTGATTACTACTAGTTTACAACAATGATTGACAACATACTGAGACAACGACAGGCAAAAATTATAACTGGAAGATATTATTAAAATGCTGAACGTGTTTTAATGTCTGGCTTGTGTTTGCGTATGTACAGTGTT